CGATATTCCACGCTTAGCCTCATTTGCATATTACTCGCACAAGAAGCCATGAGTGTAGACATAGCCAGTCTGTTCCTTATAGGTCCTAGGGCTCTTTCTCAGGCCCTGGCTGTGCTGCAGGGGGGCTGCAGGCTGGACACGCTTGCTCTGGCAGTGATCACATGGCCTCAGGCTCTAGGTGGCAGGACCCCTCTCCCAGTTGGAGTTACAATCCCTCTCCAAGACTGGCCTGCAGGGCCTCTTGGCTGGTGGCGTGTCCCTGTCCAGAGCCTCTTTCCTCCCCACTTTGCTGGTCCCAGCTGCTCACCACACCCAGCTGCAGACTGTGCTGCTTTGCCAGACTCCAGCTCCTTGTGTTGCTTCTTTGACCCCTTTAGCTCTCTGGTCATTGCAGGTCTGCTGCTCAGCACAGGGTCTGCGCTCCTTGGGCTGTGTGTGGCTCTCTCACTGCAGGACCGCCCCTCAGCACAGCGTTGGCCTCTTCCCATTGTCCCTGGGGGTATGTCAGTCTCAGGGCCCTGATTTCTCATGAACCTTTCCCCTTTTGATAGTGGGAGCTGGCCAACCAAAAACTCCCACTGAGTTTTAGTAAGGGGCTAAGTCCCCTCACATGAGCTTGGGGCAGGCAGTTGGGATGCCAGAGGGGGTTTTAGGTACAGGCTCTGGGAGGGTGTTTGGATACAGGGGTGCTAGGGCAGGAGCTTGGAGTGCAAGCCCTAGTAGGGTTCATGACGGGGAGGGTTTCGGGATGTGGGCACCAGCTGGGCCCTGCTTACCTCAGGTGGGTCCTAGGTGGTGGTGCAGTGGGGCCAGGTAGATTCACTCCTGCCCTGGCCTTGCACCACTCCCCAAAGCAGCCAGAAAGCTCCAACCCACGTCCTGCTGTGCCCCCTCTCTGCTCTGTGGAGATAGGCTACAGGGTAGGAGAGGGGCCACCCTGACATTAGCACCCACCCCTGCCCTGGCCTGCCCTGCCCAGCAAGTAGGAGGCTCCTGAGGGGACAGCTCCAAGGCAAATGGCAGGAGATGCGCAGCAGTCTGGGGGAGCGGGAGGAGCAACTGAAGCACTGGGCTTGATCACCTTTAGGCCAAACCCATCAGGATCACCTGTCAGAGGCTCCAAGATCTACCAGTAGATCCCAATGTACTGATTGGTGACCATTGGGTTACATGATTACTTCATTAAATGCATTTTGACATCTGTGTCTTTCACCCTTCACAGTTTGTCAGGTAGCTTTCACCCTTCCAGAGAACCAGAAGCAGGAACACTGACAACACTGAGTGGCGCGCGGCCGCGCACAAACACCCCTCTGCCGCCCACCTCCCTTGCGGAGCCTTGCAGCGGCACTCGCCTTCCTGCTGGCCGGGGAATGGCGCGGTTGTTTTCCTGATCTGGTGGAGGGCGGCTGCCCCGTTGTGTCCCTGCTGGGGCAGCCTCGCCCCACCTCCAGCTGCGATTGGGGCTTCTGTTTGTTTCTGTTCATACAGTTTGCTGCAGTTTTCCATCCCGGAGGACCTGCGTGAAGGTGGTCCGACCAGAGATACGGGGATCGATTTTTAAGAGTAAGAGGTTTTGTTTTTAAAGCAGGGGTGAGGAACCTAATACCCCAGCTCACGTGAGTGTGGCCCTCGAGACTCAAGGTTCCCACACTAACGCTCTAGCTCCCCTCCAGATTGGTGATAGAAATGTAGCCGTGTTAGTCTGGGGTAGTTGAAGCAAAATGCAGGACAATGTAGCACTTTAAAGACTAACAAGATGGTTTATTAGATGATGAGCTTTCGTGGGCCAGACCCACTTCCTCAGATCAAATAGTGGAAGAAAGTAGTCACAACCATATATACCAAAGGATACAATAAAAAAAATGACTGGCCCACGAAAGCTCATCATCTAATAAACCATCTTGTTAGTCTTTAAAGTGCTACATTGTCCTGCATTTTGAGTATGGAGAGGCATTCTTTCTGCTCTTAGCTCTGGTGTCCGGCCCTACAGCAGCTCCCAGTGAGCAGGAGGAGCAAGTATAGGACTATACAACCCTGAGCTAGGGATTGCTGCTGAACAGGTGCAAACTTGAGATTTTTTTAAAGATTTATAAATCAGCCAGATTTAGACAGACAAACGACATAACCCGAACTCTAGTGGGACCCTTTCTAAATGTCAAGTCCTTACCTCAAAGCACAAGGGCTCTAGACTGGCTAGGCCAAACCCATCAGGATCACCTGTCAGAGGCTCAAGTAGCCTTTTCCCGAAAAAACTTCCCCTGCGTCCAGACTCAAGCCGCGTTCTTTCGAAATTAATTCGAAAGAACGCGGCTTTTCTTTCGATGGCGGTAAACCTCAATTTACGAGGAAGAACGCCTTCTTTCGAAAGTTCCTCTTTCGAAAGAAGGCGTTCTTCAATGTAAATAGGGCTTCTTCAAAAGAGAGCATCCAGACTCACTGGATGCTTTCTTTCGAAAAAGCAAGCCGCTTTTTCGAAATTTCTCCGTGCAGTCTAGACGCTCTCTTTCTAAAGAGGCTCTTTCGAAAGATGCTTTCGAAAGAGCCTCTTTTGAAAGAGGCTTGCAGTCTAGACGTAGCCTAGGAGAAAAGGTTCTAAGGATTAGAGGCTGTCAAGCAATTTTTAAAAATTCATCACACTTAATGGTGCAATTAATCACACTGTTAAACAATAATAGCATAACATTTATTTACAGTATTTTGGGATGTGTTCTACTTGTTAAAATGTATTGGTTTTAATTGCTCACTTTTTTTTAATTATAAATATTTATTTTTTCAATTTATCTAAATCAAGTTCTGGAGTGCAGTCTCTATCATGAAAGTTGAATGTACAAATGTAGAATTGTGTACAATACATAACTGGATTCAAAAATTTAAAAAAGTCAAACTTTAGTGCCAACAAATTCACTCAGTCCTACTTCTTGTTCAGCCCATCGCTAAGACAAGTTTGCTTACATTTGCAGGGGATAAAGCTGCCTGCTTCTAATTCACAATGCCACCTTAAAATGAGAAAAGGCATTTGCATGGCACTGTCGTGGCCAGCATTGCAAGGCATTTTCATGCCAGATACACAAAGATTCATTTGCCCCTTCATACTTCAACCACTAATGCGGAGAACATGTGTTAATGATGCTGATGGGTTCTGCTCAGTAACGATCCAAAGCAGTGAGGGCCACCAGCAGAAAGTTGATGTTCTTTTTTGGAGGTTCAGGTTCTGTAGTTTCTGAATCCAAGTGTAGCTCTTTCAAAGCTTCCGAAATCATGTTCCAGGCTTCTCCCTCAGATTTTGGATGACACTTCAGATTCTTAAATATTGGTTTGAGTGCTGTAGCTCTCTTTAGAAATCTCACACTGGTACTTGTGAGCATCCCTCAGTGGTGGGAGGAGACTTATAGTCTCTCTACCCGGTTGTCTGCAGGAGAGGAAGTGTCTGGTCTGTAGCCTGGGACCAGGCTTCTTCTTACCTCCTGTTGTGGCTGCTGGGAGTTTGGGGGACCTAGGCTCACCCACTCTTCTGGATCCCGGCTCAGGGACCCTATAAATAGCAGTTACCTTCTGAGTCTCAAAGAAGTTGGTTGCTATCATGTTCCCTGGGCCACATCCCTGGGAAGTTGCTCTATCCAGCCCTTTCTCTTGGGTCTTGTGGTCAAGTCCTTCCTGTCCAGGGTTCTGCAAGGGTTGCTGTTGGCTTACTGGCTAGTCTTCAGCCACTGGACCTGGTTCTGAACAGGTCAGAAGTCTAGCTCCCAGTGAGAGCACGGTTGTTCTCCCAGTCAGCCCTTTGGTCTGCCTGGGTTGAGCTCCAGGAAAGAACTGCCAAGCCCTGGCCCAGCAGCTTCTTTTATATCGGCCTGCTGCCCCTGATTGGCTGCAGCAGAGGCTGCCACTCTATTCTGTTTGGAGGACCTCTCTTCTGTACCTGTTGCTGGGCAGGGTACAGAAAGGCCTCCAGCCTCCAGCAGGGATATTGGGGCCTAGTCCATACCATCATAGGTACCTTCTATATGTTTTGTCAAATCTGCAGTGAAAGTATTCTTAAAACAAACAGTATATGCTGAGTCATCACCCGAAACTGCTCTATGAAATATATGGCAGGATGTGGGTAAAATAGAGCTGGAGATGTACATTTCTCTCCCAAGGAGTTGAGTCAAATTGAATTCCTGCATTATTTTGTTAACAACAGTTATCAGCATTGAAGTATGACCTCTGGAATTGTGGCTGAAGCATGAAGGACATACACCTGTTTAGTATATCTGGCACATACATTTTCAGTGCTGCCTATAAAAGTCCCATGCAAATGCTTGTTCTCACATTCTGGTGACAATGTAAATATGAAGTTTTTGAGTGTAGTCATGTAACAAAACCAAAAAAAACCCAAAAAACAAAAACAAAAAAACCCACCCCATTTGTAAGTTGCACTTTCATGACACTACAGTACTTTTATGAAGTGTTTTATCTTTTTAAAATGCAAATATTTGTACACAAAAATAATTTAAAATGAGCAGTGTACACTTTGTATCCTGCGTTGTAATTGAAAGTAATATATTTGAAAATGTAGGAAAACATCCAAAATATTTCAGTTGTTATTCTATTGTTTAATGGTACAATTAAAACAGCAGTAAATCCTGATTAATTTTTTGAGTTAATCACTTAATTGACAGTCCAAGTAAGAATATTTTGCCCCTGGGTAAAATGATGCATTCTTTTCCTTAACCTTGTTCTAGAAATGCCTAAACCACTTTAAAAACAATGAGGAGGCCTGTGGCACATTAGAGACTAACAAAGTTCTGTTTTTAAAGTTACAGACCAACATGGCTATCCCCCTGAGACTTGAAACCATTTTGGTTGAAATTCTCTTGGCCTGAATTGTTAAAGTTTTGGCAAAGATATAAGCAGCTAAAACCAGAGTTTTATAAGTAAAGTGTCAGCTAGTCTTAAGAAAAGGCAGTACTTCAGTTCTACCAGTAATAAATGATTTTCTTTTAATATTATGTATGCACAAGGTTTAGTATTCATGATTGCAGCCAGCGAGACTACGACCATGGAGACGAACAACACGGGGGTAGTGAGCACGGAGACGGCCATCACAAAGGCGGTGAGCACTGAGACGGCCAGCATGGGGTTAGTGAGCATGGAGACGGCCATCACAAAGGCGGTGAGCACTGAGACGGCCAGCATGGGGTTAGTGAGCATGGAGACGGCCATCACAAAGGCGGTGAGCACTGAGACGGCCAGCATGGGGTTAGTGAGCATGGAGACGGCCATCACAAAGGCGGTGAGCACTGAGACGGCCAGCATGGGGTTAGTGAGCATGGAGACGGCCATCACAAAGGCGGTGAGCACTGAGACGGCCAGCATGGGGTTAGTGAGCATGGAGACGGCCATCACAAAGGCGGTGAGCACTGAGACGGCCAGCATGGGGTTAGTGAGCATGGAGACGGCCATCACAAAGGCGGTGAGCACTGAGACGGCCAGCATGGGGTTAGTGAGCATGGAGACGGCCATCACAAAGGCGGTGAGCACTGAGACGGCCAGCATGGGGTTAGTGAGCATGGAGACGGCCATCACAAAGGCGGTGAGCACTGAGACGGCCAGCATGGGGTTAGTGAGCATGGAGACGGCCATCACAAAGGCGGTGAGCACTGAGACGGCCAGCATGGGGTTAGTGAGCATGGAGACGGCCATCACAAAGGCGGTGAGCACTGAGACGGCCAGCATGGGGTTAGTGAGCATGGAGACGGCCATCACAAAGGCGGTGAGCACTGAGACGGCCAGCATGGGGTTAGTGAGCATGGAGACGGCCATCACAAAGGCGGTGAGCACTGAGACGGCCAGCACAGAGGCAGTGAGCACTGAGATGGACAGCACGGAGGCGGTGACCACTGAGGCGGCCAGCACAGCAGTAGTGAGCACGGAGACGGACATCACAAAGGCTGTGAGCACGGAGGCAGCCAGCACGGAGGCGGCAAGCATAGAGGCGGCCAGCACGGAGGCGATGAGCACAGTGATGGCCAGGATGGTGATGGCCAGCATGATGACAAGGATAACAATCCCAGAAAACAGTAAGATGAAAAACTTGCTTCTTTTCTTTCAAACACCTGAAGCATGTTCAGAGATTGAGCTGAATACAGTACTTAAATATGAAAAAACAAAAAAACAAAAACCCCTCAGTTTCAGGGCTCTCATTGGTAAAAAGCTGCTCAAATTCTATCATGAAAATAAGTGGAGGATCAACTATCTTTTTCAAGTCTACTGCTAAACATCTAAATTCACAGGACAAGTTAGTCAGATCAACCTTTACCAACCAGACTTCTGGGCCAGATCTGTTGTTTTAATTAATTATTTCCTTTCATTGTTGATTTGAATATGTTTTACCCTCCTGTGCACATACA